GCTTCAGCCATAAGCATGATGTGAGTGAAATTTTTGAAAGATGAATGATTTGATTCTTTATGTTCATGGGGTTTTTGTGTTCTTATGTTCTTGAGGGGTTTTGGATTTGCAGGGCTATTAAGAGATCGAATTGCTTCCATGCTAGTGGAGGGAAAGATCCTTGTCAAATTAATAGCAATCCTTATATGATAGCCTTTGGGATTATACAGATAATCTTCTCTCAAATCCCAGATTTTGATCAGCTATGGTGGCTATCCATTGTTGCTGCTATCATGTCTTTTACTTACTCAACCATTGGGCTTGGCCTTGGAATTGCTCAAGTTGCTGGTAAATTTTCAGACATGTTTTGATTGTTTTAAGGATTCCACGAAGTGGGTTTTGTTCATGTTCTTGTTTCGAGTGTTTTAAGGATTCCACGAAGTGGGTTTTGATGATGTTCTTGCTTTGATTGTTTTAGGAAATGGGAAAGTTAGAGGGAGTTTAACTGGAATTAGCGTTGGAACTGTTACTCAAACGCAAAAAGTATGGAGGAGCTTCCAAGCTCTTGGAGACATTGCTTTTGCATACTCTTACTCGATTATCCTTATCGAAATACAGGTATGAATCTCGAGAATTCGATGTCAAGTTTCGATTCGATTCGATTCGGTTCGATTAAATGAGGTATGTTTTGTTTGACAGGACACTCTTCGATCTCCGCCTTCGGAGGCCAAGACAATGAAGAAGGCTACTCTAGTAAGCGTGTCGGTCACGACGTTGTTCTACATGCTTTGTGGTTGTGCGGGGTACGCCGCGTTCGGGGACTTGTCGCCGGGAAACCTCCTCACAGGGTTCGGGTTCTATAACCCATATTGGCTGCTTGACATTGCTAATGCTGCTATTGTTATTCATCTTGTTGGTGCCTACCAAGTCTATTGCCAACCTCTCTTTGCCTTCTTTGAAAAGTATGCATCTGAAAAGTTTCCTGATAGTAAATTCATCACCAAAGAGATAGAGATTCCGATTCCCGGGTTCCGCCCCTACAGACTCAACCTCTTCCGGTTGGTTGGGAGGACGGTTTTCGTGATCGTGACGACCGTGATCTCGATGCTTCTCCCGTTCTTCAACGACGTGGTTGGACTCCTTGGAGCTCTAGGATTTTGGCCTCTCACGGTTTACTTTCCGGTGGAGATGTACATTGCTCAAAAGAAGATACCAAAATGGAGTTCAAAATGGTTGTGCCTGCAAATCTTAAGCGTTGCCTGTCTCATAATTTCGATAGCAGCGGCGGCCGGTTCGGTCGCCGGGGTCGTCCTAGATCTAAAGACCTACAAGCCCTTTAGCACAAGCTTTTGATTCAGATTGATCAGGCGCTGCAATGAAAAGGGGTTGATCCAAATGCCATTTTTAATTCAAGTTCTTCATAAAAAAGGCTTCAAACTCTGAAGCTTCTCTTCTCTGTTGGTTATTTTTAGTGTCATTTCCAAGAAAATAGATGAAATCATGATTGTACATGTTAAAAGCTATGATCTTTATGATCTTTCCAACTTCGTACCCTTTATATTCCGGATCGAACTAAAAAAACAAATGAAACATATTCGTGCTATCTTTTTCAGTTCAAAATTTATCGACTTTTGAAATGATAATCTATGTATTATTTACTCAATTGTACTCGAATCGACGTTATATACTACTCGAAACTTACCATATAATACTCGAACTTACCATATTCTTACATTTGACTTTGAATAGCATAAACTGAAAAGCAGTGGAACCATTTGTCAAACAAATTCCCATAAAATAGCAAGTGGTCAAAGACAGGTGGAACAATATTCAACCTACATTTTTATAAGTTTGACTCTGTGTTTGTGTAGTATAGTTATGGTTTGAGACATAAATTCATGTAGCCAAAAAAAAATTAAGTTTTATGAACTTGTTTTTATGTTGGGAATTTTGGTAAGAATTCAAATGTTTTGACAAAGAAATAGAAAATTTGTTGTCGAGAACTGATGAGAAAATAAATACAATTAAGTGGACATCGAACGAAAATGACATTGGGTCGTGTCCCTTGAGTTGCATGTTGGAATATAGGGTTGGCTTGTACACGGTATGCAGAAATGACCTGACACGGGAGACTTTATATATACCTTAATAATACTTGGATGGATGGATTTGGAGAGGTTTTGATTATAAAGTTGTCTTAGGAATTGATTCTCGATAAACATGTTTAAACAAGATGCGAAGGTTAATGATAGCCAAAAACTCAAAAGAGTATCATGAGGCATTAAGGAAAAACGATCATTTATGGCTATTGGAATAGTTTATCATTTAACTTGGGTTTGAAACCAAACTTCTCCTTAGGAGGATAGATGGGTCGATTCGGGTGAGATCCAATCTAAATCCAACTTTCCATTCACTCGTGGGATCCGGGCGGTCCGGGGGGGAACACCTCGGCTCCTCTCTTCTCGAGAATCTATATATCCCTTATCAGTATATGGACAGCTATCTCTCGAGCACAGGTTTAGGTTCAACCTCAATGAGAAAATAAAACGAAACACCTAACAACGTATCTTCACAGACCAAAAACTACGAGATCGCCCCTTTCATTCTGGGGTGACGGAGGGATCGTACCATTCGAGCCTTTTTTCCATGCTTTTCTCGGAGGTTTGGAGAAAGCTCAAAAGCGAAAGGAAGAACGTGAAATTCTTTTTCCGTAACAAAATCATCTTCCAAAGCTCTCTAGCTCTTGGAGATAAGAAGGGGCAAGGAATTTCCATTGCATGGAAATGAATATTGGTTGGACAAATAAAGATGCCTTCAAGAGCACCATTGAAGGTGCAAATTCATGTTCATACATCTGTTCTAAACAGTAAGTCAATATACACCAACCATACATTATACAATCTTGAATCTTTAGTTGAATTTCGTGCAAAAATTATATATTTAAGACTTAGATCAACTTATCATCTTCGCTTTAGGGTTTATGCAAATGGTGGGTGAGAAAGTGATGTCTTCTCTTTTCCTAAAGGAAAAAGATACCGTCTTTGTTGAACCATTCATCTCGCTCATCAAGTATTAAGACTCTATATTAGGATTTTATCAATGAAACAAATTATGGGAACTTGGGTTCGGTTTCTAAATCCTGAACGTGGGTTGATATAGTTTCATGTAGCTCTCGAGATTAATGTATTCATAACTTGAGATAAACAAGCCCTCGTAAGCAAATATAAGTTTGATTTCAAATTATGAAAATTTGGGTTATTGTAACAAAACGTTCGGCATCTGAATCCTAAATGTGGGTTTATATAGTTTTATGTAACTCTCGAGATTAACATATTTATAGCTCGAGATAAGAAAACCCTAGTAAGCAAATGTGAGTTTAATTTCTTAACTTTACACGTGCGAACGAGTTATCTCGTAGAGAAAGTAGAAGCTCGCCCTCACAACATTCTCCCACTCGCTTTCTTTTCCCATTCCCTCTACTTTTCAAGAATCTAAACTCCCCAAAGTTATACAAGGAACCATCCAACTCCTGCCAGCTTACAGCAACTCAAGATTCCATTTTGCCAATTCAAATCCAAGCAAGTCCCCACGAGCTCACTGATATGTTTCCTTTCCAAGCACAGAACTCTCCATATTCTCTGAAAGGTGCAGAACATTTCCCACCAGCCAGCTAAAAGTTAGAATTAAAAAGCTTGGCCTCATTTTTCTATGTATACAATTCAAAAAACCACTTTATCTTTGGCGAATCAAAAGCAGGGAAGAAAGAAAGTAAGATAAAACAGCCTTTTTACACATGAAATTGATGTTCGAAGTCATGGAGTATTATACGGCTTGATATACGAGAGAGAAACGATGAAAATACTCTGAAAAGTTATTGAGATAAAGTGGTACCAGCCTAATTATGAGATCCTGCATTAGTTAGAGAGAGGAACGAACACTTTTTAGAAAAGTGTAAAAATCTCTCTTCAACATACACATTTTAAAAATCGTGAGGCTAACAGCGATATGTAACGAGTTAAAGCCTACAATATCTACTAGCGATAGACTTGGAGTGTTACACTTCTACAATCATTCTTCCTCCTTCATCAGCCAAAAGTGAGCTCTAAAAATCAAACCTAACCAATAACATTAGGACTCAAAAGCGCCGGAAAGTCTCAAGTCGGCGGCCGCCCACTTAGCGGCGGCTTCGTTGCTAGTGGTAGGGAACACCAAAACTAAGGATGAAAAGTGGGTTGTGGGGTTATCTTTCCGGGAAGTTTCATGATTTCGTTGGAAAAGGGTTGCTGTCGTTCTCTCATCTTTCTTTTTAGTGGGGATTTGCTTTTGATTGTAGTGGAGATCTGGAGGAATCTCCAAGGACCAAGGGAAAGGCCAAGATGTGTTTGTTTTTATCTTTCCCCACTTTCTTTCAGTGCATTTTTTTTAGAGCTTTAAATGGGTTAATGATTAGAGGCAAAGACAAAGCTCTATAACTGAGAAACAGCAGTTTTTGGTACAATGAGTGTGGGTGGATGTTTTTCTTCTCTTCAAACTACTTAATGGGGTGCTTTGTAATGGAAGTAAAGCAAATGAAGGTTTGCCAACTCAATGGAGAGATGAGTCTTGAAGTCTAAGACAGAAACCTAATCTATTCACTTTCTAAGTGACATTCATTCAGTCCTGGCCTGGCCTATCTAGTTGCTTATATAGGTGTAGCTTGGTTCATTTTACCACTAAATCATCGTGGAAATTGGATTCATACAAGTTCTTGAACCAGTCTAATCAAATCGAATCAAATCGAATTAAAACATCAAATCAAATGGTTGGTCTCTTCCATAAAGTTTGAAAACTAGGCATCACCACCTGACCTTCCAACCTTGTAAAGGTAAGTAAAAAGAAACACGGGGCATTTTCTTTTTTCTACTACAACATTATATGGAGGTAAGATTCAAACGTCTAACCTTTTATTCAAGAACATGTTTTAACCAGTTCACTTACGTTACCCTCCAGGAAAGAAACATTCTGGAAAAAGAATGACAAAGTTAATGAGAAAAGTTTCCACATGTTACACAACTCAAGGATACTCCTGCAACATACAATACAAAATGTTGAATGTACAGTTCAGCAAAATACAGGAAGGATGGAAGATGTTTCAACTTTTAACCCACAACTCCTTCCCAGGAGAAAGAAAGAGGAAAAATGGAAGAAATAAACTCTACAAAAACAATGAATCTGGCGCAAATTTAAAGAATCATCAGCTCTATTTTATTGGGGAACGATATAAATCACAATATAATTTGGGTATGAAACTATGGTTTAACCTATGGGATCCAAGTATTACCCCAATGTCAAGTAATGACGACCATTTAGTTCTTTCTCTGACAATATGTTGAACACGATTTTGGCCGCCATGGCCTCCAGACTGACCTGAAGAAAACAGCCGACGATTGTAATGCTAGTTTAGTCGTCTCTCCCTGAGTAGAATATTCATACTTTGCAGGTGAAATGGTGGTTGAAGAAGAGAATCATCCAAGATGTGTCTAAAGTTCCTCTTTGCTGAACTTATTCCAGGCTTCCTGTTTCAATGTAAACAAAAATTTGACGGTAATACGACAGTTAAAACAAGTAAAACCAGTAATTGAATTAGACTTCGAATCTAAAAGCAGTCATAAATTGATCAGCCAACTCTTGGTACAAGTAAAATGGGAAGAATAGTCATCAATCAAAATCATTTGCTTCTTTCTTTCTCCTAGGATTATTATATTTTCACATAGAAACATTCCAAAGAGGAAATCATCAAGTAGTCTCTAATTCTGTACATAATCAGCATCTGCATTGGAGACTTGAAGCTCCATGAAATTTTTAATTAAAAACAAATAACCCAGTTCTCTACATGTAAACAAACTAGAAAGATCGTATACCTTCATCGTTTAGAAATCAGAAACCAAGTTGAGATGCAGGCTCGAAATTAGGATGCTAAATAGTGGAAAAAGAAAAGAGGTGAAAATGATAATATTTTTAAGTCACCTTGAGAATATCAAAAACCTTCTCTGCGGTATATTTCTGTTCAATACTGGCACCCTTCTGTTGAACCTTATCCGGATGAATGCACAAGACTGCCTTCCTATACACCTTTTTAACTGAGGAAGAAGTAATCATATCTGTCAATGAAACTGGTTCCCAACCACAACCGGACCAGAGAACCTAATCAGCAGTAGAATGGAGATAAATTAGCATGCTAATAACTGAATCTATGCTGTTTGCAAATTAATGGCAGAAAATCGGGATGGTTGATCCAAAGTTAGAGTTTGATCTGGTAAAAATATACTGCGTTACGATCATCAGGAGCAACTAGCCCATACTTCCTTACGTATATAACTGGATCAAGAGGTTCTGAATGTCCATGTATACACACACATTAAAAAATGAAAAATATCGTTTAGATACAAACAGACCACAGTCCAACCCCTGGGAACAGAACCAGAGGACCATAGTCAAATGTGATGCAATGTCAGGGAAGTAAGAGTGTTACATTTTACAGTAGTGCCAAACTATAATTGATTGTTTTAAGCCTTTTTGTATCCTCTCGAGGTGTCTTAATTGAATCCCAAGTCTCTACTAAATCCCAAGTCTCTACTATCGCAAAACCCTACAGAATGCATCATAAAGCAATTCCAAAAGTGAAAAGTTTCTTCTCCCTGTGAAAAATTAAAAGGGAAATACAAGCAGCTTAAGATCCCTAAATCTTTTAAGAATAAATCTTCAACCCTTTTGGACCTCTCCTCTTCTTCTGCGCAGCTCCTTTCCCTCCATATGTAGTCTCTAATTCCAAGTTTGCCACTATAGACAGCTGGTATCTTTCCAATAATGCTTGGGATCTTCAGCTGAGAAGAGGTTTAATGGACAGAAAATTAGAGAAATGAGTAAGCCTCGCTATTCTGCTCCATGATCCCAGTCAAGCCAATGATTTGATTTGTTGGACAGCAGACCCATTTGAGGTATTCTCAGTGAAATCAGCCCAAAAAGTTCATCATCTTGGGAATCCATGTCTCACTTTCTCAGAGAGTTGATTTGGCAAGGAAATAGTACAAAAAAAAAAAAAATTGGTTGATATCTAGCCCATGGGAGCTTGAATACTATGGATAGGGCTCAAAAGAGAAATCCAGATCTAGCCGTGTCACTATCTATGTGTAAAAGCAATGCTGAAACTAGTGACCATTTGTTCTTTCACTATCCTTTTGCGCAGAAAGGTAGGCATTACATCTGCAATCACTTTGATTGTGCTTGGTGTCCTAAAAAGAATGAAGATGGGCTTTTAGACTTAATTTCAGGATGGTGGTTAAAAAAAGAGTAAAATCCTTGGGACAAAATCTAGAGCTCTTCTATCATTCCTTTGGAAAGAAAGGAGTTATGCACGTTTCTCAGATAAAGTACACTTTTGTTAACATTTGTGGGCACCTTCAGTATACAACCTCAATTGGAATGCTTTACACAATCTTTTGTAATATTCCCTCTGCCCTCATTTTTTTTTTCTTTTTTAATTATTGGAGGCCTCTGTTTGATCATACTTTGCACACGCTAGGATCCCTCATCTCTAAGGCTTAGGTTGTGCTTCTGTTATGGTGTGTATGTATCCTCATTTCTAATTAAAAAAAATAAGAAAGAAGCAAAAATAGAAGGAAAAAAAGGGCAATAGGTTAGGAGCAGAATGAAAGAGAAAAATTAGAACCAAGAAACACACATATTGCAATGATGATAACAGTGCACGCATGTTTCCTTCCTTCCCTGCAGCCCAGCGCTTGATAGAAACATCTAAAGACTCGGCAATCCTCTGTCAAAGTAAACAAAATTGGCAGTAAACCAACCAAGCCTTTTGATTTAACCCAAATGAGAACAATACTTGTAAGACAAAATACTAATATGGCAATTTAATACTAACACGCTTCTCTTCTTGCTCGTGCAGTGTTTGAAAGTCACGTTGATTCAAATCAGCCACTGCTCTTGCCTGAGAATCAATTTGAACTACTTTCAATTCAATGACAAAAACATCCAGCAAAGAAGAGAAATCTAGCTTCTTATAAGGTACCCCAAATGTAACAAAGAAGGAAGAAGAAGAAAAGAGAAACACTAACTGCACGCTCTTGGGTCCTTTGTAGACGACCCAATCTGGCTCTTCTTCTTTCTTCACTCTCTCCCTCAACTTCATCAAAATGTCCAAATAAAGGAGCATCTACCATGAGAAAAAGGAGGGATGGGGAAAATCAGAATTTAAAAAATTGGAGGAAAAAAAAAAACAAATGAGAAAATAGTGATCATTTGCATATAGTCGTAGCTAAAGCAGCACTTCATGGTATATCACCTCCAAAAACCGATGTAAGATCATCCACAAGATTTAGAGCAGAAGACGATTTCTTCATGTTGGATGAGGCTGCAAAAGAAGTTCCTTTCGGTATTTCAGGTGGTTTGTTGTACTTAGGAACGTCAAATAGAGGATCCTGAAAAATAACCCCACAACATTTACAGAACTATCAATCCAGTAGTTTAGGATACTGATAAACAAATACAATATTGCTGCAAGTGCAACAAATTTTCATGTTCTTTTTTCTTTTGTGAAAAATTCGATGGTGTTGAAAGCGTCTCACCGGAGTTGTTATTCGTGACCTTGGAACACTCTTTGATCGAGGACCTGCATTGAAAAAGGAGTCCAGATCGTCTACAGTATTTTGATGATTTACTCCTGCAGCATGTGCATCTTTACCATTTCTATTCACTGTGTACGTTGAGGCATTGACTTTTCCCATTGCAAAGTTCTCCAATTCATCTATAGGAGAGGAAGAGGAACTCTTAACTGCACAGAGCATCTCGATATTGTCAAATTATGATGAGATTGGACATCAATATTTATGAAGATAAGGAAGCTGAAGCACCTTTATCTGCCTTATGCCCTGGCTTTGGTATTGGAGGAACCCTGAATGGTGAGGAAGAATTTGACGGGCTGTCAAATTTTGTGCCTCCAGAACTATTGAACTTACTAATTTCCTCCAACGGATTTAAGAAAGCCTTAGACGAACTAAAAGTTGGTATTGAAGTTGATTCTAGTTCTATGAAAGGATCTTTGGCTGAACCGAAAGTTGATTTAGTTGGATGAGAAGTTGATTGCTGGGTCAGATTGTCCAGAACGCTCGCTCTGGTCAAATGAATAAAAATAGAATGCATCAGTTTTACAAGTACTCACACGTACGAAAAAAATAGAAATGCTCGAATAGAGACATCATGATGGAAGTCACCAAGTGAACAACACCATAGAGAGTTTGGCAAAAAGGGAACATAGAGAATACAGAAAATAGATTTCTGCAACAATCAAGAATATTCTTTTTCCTATTGAAGAGCGTTTCTGTTGCTGCACCATAAGATGAATTGTTAAGCCATCATGGTATTCAATCGCAGAGGCGATATTATCGGTTTCATTCCAGTAAGATAGTTTGTACTTCGTTAACAACACAATACAATGCTGTTGATTGGAGAGGAACATTAAGCTAGCATTAATTCACCTCATAAAGAGAAACAAATGGAAGCATGCTAGTATAGATCACTTGAGGTAAGTAAAGAAACTCGAAAACATGGGAACCAAAACAAGGAAATTGGTTTAATTGTATGCATTTTATTATACCTAATCTTACAGTGTAAGGAATGAAATTGTTATTTCATTATAGGTGCACCCGGTAGCTTCCAATATGAATTGTAAGAAACTAGAAATACACAATAAATTAAGCTAAATTCTACGTCAATCTTTTCCTAAGTTCAATTCACACCCGCACGACAATGGTAGAGCAAACTCACCAACAAGAAGAAGAAATCAAACCACATTTTTCTGGTACCAACAGCATAATGTAGAGAGCTATGCAGGATGATACAATGATTATACCTATTAGTTCGAGAGTTGCCATTGCCAAAGCCAGAAATCAATTCATCAAAAGTGGCTGCATTGTTATTTGCTGCCTTTTTCAATGGCTTCGGAATTGTTGTCTTCGCCACATTGCTGCCGAAATTACCAAACAAATCATCAATTTGAGAGTTATGATTCGTTGATGAGGAGAACGATCGGACCGGATCCTCCGTCTTTGTTGTTACCGAGCTCTTGAATCCGGGAATCCCACCAAAAACATCATCATAAGTTGGATCTGAACTCTTCGACCCAAAAAATATTGAATCGTAATCAAAAGAAGACGGAGAACTTCCGGAATGCCCCGAATGTTTCGTTGGCTGATTGAGACTCCCAAGAAAATCACCATAATCATCAAGCCCCCCGGGCTTAGTGTTTTTCTGAAAAGATACGTCACCAAAGCCAGAATCGAACGAGGAATTGCCATTCAAACCCGAATTATACCCGGATTTCGGAGACTGGAAGGTGTTTGAGGAAGTGGATGCCTTCGATGCAGCCATTGGAGCCGATTTTCCTTGCGGCTTCAATCCAAATCTTTCCGTCAATACCCCAAAATCGTCCATCGCAGGCGTAATCACAAAATTGGAACAATGGGGATCACAGATTCGGGCTCGAATTTCCGATTCCGTAGATCTCAACAAAAAGGTAGAGTAAGCGTGAGAATTTTTCTTCCTCTTAAAGCAAACCCAAAATTCTTCAAAGCAAAAGCGAGCAGGAAAACAGCATAAAACGGGATCGCTTGATTACTGTTCTTCAAAACAAATTCTAAGGTGGGAAAGGGCAAAGAATTAATGCAGAAAATAATTGAACCATAAACATTAAAGAAGCTTGAAATCCAGAATGAGAAATTACCGCACGAATAAATTGAGTGGAAGCCACGCGGCAAACACCAACTCTCCTTTTCCCTCCCTTCGTCATGTCGATTCATTATTTAAGTCAAGGTCTTGACTTTTCCTAACAAATCAGTAATTTTAAACAATTTAAATTTAAAAGTTTTCTTTTTATATTTTATTTGAGACGAGAAACATTAAAATAAATATAGTTAAATTTATCTTGGTTGGAATGTTTGTTTCAAATGAAAATAAAATTAATATTCTCCCAAAAAAAAAAATTTGTATTTTAAGTTTTAAAATTTTACATTTGCTAATTAGACCTTCAGTTTAAAAAATTACATTAGTTCCTTTTCTTTCTTCATCCGTCTCCTCCTTCGCATGGAGCTATGGCTGATATGGCAACGTACAAGACTTTAGTTGATATGGCAATGTACAAGACTTTAGTCACTTTCGTGTTGAGCTATGGCTGATATGGCAACATACAAGACTTTAGTAACTTTCGTGTAGAGCTATGATTGATATGGCAACGTACAAGACTTTAGTAACTTTCGTGTAGAGCTATGGCTGATATGGCAACATACAAGGCTTTAGTCACTGCTATTGTAAAGCATATCTCCAATGTTGGATTTGAACTCACCAATATAATTTGGTCCCAAGATGTTGGTCCCGTGCCAGCAAATATTGTCCATTTTGGCTTCTTGTGTATTGCAACCTCACGGTTTTAAAATGCGCTTGTTAGGAAGAAGTTTTCACACTCTCATAAGAATGTTTTGTTCCCCAAGTTTTCACACTCTCATAAGAATGTTTTGTTCCCCTCTCCAACCGATGTGAGATCTCACAATCCATCCATTCTGAGAGTTCCAGCGTCCTCGCTGGCACACCGCTCAATATCTAACTCTGATATCATTTGTAACCGCCCATGTGAGACAAGTTCTGTCTCCTCGTCAAAGTTATTAGAAATGGAAGAGAGAGGGTCAGATGGATTTGAGGTGCGAAAGCTGATTTTCGATGGTTCAAGTGTTCGTTTTCTAGACAGAGTCTAGGGCAATTTCTCATTAACCAAATAAAAAAGTGTTTAAAGACAGTGGAGTTAACACCATTGTTAATGTTATGATTGTAATAAACTGTTCTCATGGCCCCCTCCTAATACCAAAACAAAAACACGACTACTCAGCACCAGAGGGTGCAGCAGCAGGAGGCTAGGGGGTAAAAAGAAAACCTCAAAAACAAAGCCGTTGCTGTCTGAATAGCCTAGTTTCTTTCCATCTCAGTGCCTTTTGGCTCTAGATTCAGATTTTGAAAGTGCGCCACCTGAAAGCTTGTTCAACTCATACAGCAGTCCAGCGGAGAACAAGAAACTGCAGCAGAAGAAAATAATAATGCATTGAAGTTAGAGTTCCAAGATACTCAAAATTTTGGTCCAATCAATAGTGAATCTTATTGTTTTGATAGAACTTGCTGCTCTACTTCATAATATAATAGCTATTATTGATCTCAATATTTGAAGAAACAAATGTCTTGGGTTGGTCCCTTTCTCTTCGAAATTACTATTTCAATTCGTGTCTTGCACGTTACGCCATGATAGGATCAGTTTTTAGCCTTATGATGATAACTTTTGAATCTTTACGAGGTCTTTATTATTTTTTGTAGTGGTTCCTTCTACATTCTTTCTCCAAGGGATAGTAGCTATGAAAAACAGTTTAAAAAGGATGTGGATAAGTCAGAATACCATGTTGTGATGCAAACTCTATGAACAGTGCTTGCAGCAATCAATGCAACTGCTTCTGCTACAATGACTGCAAATGAAAAGTAAATGGTTAGTTAATTCTTATTCATCTCCAAGGAATTGGAAAATGTGGGCACAATGCTGCTGTTCATAATAATTTATTGTCTACTGAATTAGCGTGCATAAAGGTTCTTGACAAACATCAACGAAAATTTATTTGAAATGAAATAACATAAACGAAAAGAGCATCTTAATCCACAAAGTTTGAACCTTTCTATATCCTTTTTAATCAACTTCCAGTTCCAAATTAAATCAAATGAATTCTATTGGCAGACATTACAACAGCGTATATTACGATCTTTTGACATTCTTCAAAGAGTAAGCTATGGTACAAAATCAGGACTCGGGAGAGTACTAGTTTAAACAATGAAATTGTCGTTTCATTTCATGTATGATTGACGAATCAAGGAGAACATGATTTACAAACATCCAACCAATAGCATAATCAAAGCCAAGATGAAGATACAGATAATTATTAAAAAAAATACAAAAATACAGACATAGGTCCATATACATTCTTTCGACTCGCTCGCGACAATCATCAACATACAAACGCACAAAGGATTTGACTATTGGAACTTAGCCACTCAGTAATATCATAAGAATACATTGTAGCTTCCATGAATGTCAACCTCCCCCAGAAAGTCATGATTAGCTACTAAACCTAATAACTATGAACATTTAAAGAGAACAGATAGGTTTTGCTGGAGATAATTATAAAATAAATGAAAAATATATATAAACTCTGCAGCACTAGTATTAGAGAAACTTGTTAGGCGGAAAAATATGTGAAGTCAAGAGCACGAGTCATTAAACTTACCAGCTCCCCATCCAGCTCGCATGCCACATGTTTCCTGGAAGTTTCCTAAGAACTGAAATAAATCAATCAAGAAAATGCAAATTATCATGCTGAATCAACAATTTCAGCTGAAAAGCAAAAAGTAAATATAAATGAGCTCATAACTGCATCTTCATGCTGTAATGAAAGCAATAAATTTGGTCTTGAGTTCAATCTTTTGTTTGTACGCAGATGTATGCAACAATCGGCACGTAAGCATAACTTGCATTTGATCCATAAAATAAAACTGATTCCATTACGTTTGACAGAAAAACCAAGTCCAAAATGTCACAATTATATCTAATATGGAAGATTTCTTACAAAACCAGAGAGAACTAAAAGCACAAAAATGGGAACTCCAGCGCTACAAGAAAGGAGGCTAGAAATAAAAACAAAGGAATATTGAAGAAATCTTTGTAAGTTGTAAATCAATTTGACGCAAAATGAAAGTCACAAAATATGCAATTAAATTTCATTTAGAGAATATCACTGATCAGTGTCCATGTAATTGACAAAAGACGTTATAGAGATGCATGCAACGGGATTAAATACTGATAAAACTTGAATTATTCCATAAAATTTCTGTAAATTCCCCATCCAGAAAAGGCCAGCGGATCCAGAAATAACGTAAAGATAACATGCATCTACAAGTTTTTCAAGCTGGTGTAAGAATAAAAGAGCGTTCGAACTCACGGTTAGAAGCACTAGAAATAAAAGAGAACTAATGAATCCTCCAAGTATGGTAAACAGCTCCGAAGAAGCCAATTTTCCTCTATACATCTCTTGAAGTGAAAGAATGACAGTGAACAGAAGAAATGAGTAAAGCATGGAACTCCCAGACCCCGCCATGGCCTTCAATAGTCACAAACACAAAAACGTCATAACCAATAGTCAACTATCAAACCACGAGTAATTACAGCAACAGAAATCACAAACCAGCCAAAAAAAAAACTAGATCAGTGATTAAAATGAAGAACAATTCGCACTAACTGAGAATGCATAATCCAGAGATTCAAATGTAAAACAATTACAAAAGGAACATAGAAAATGCGGATCCGAAACAACATGGATAATGAACATCTCAGTTTCATTGGAAGTAGACGATTAGTTCAAGATAACCTAGTTATAAGAATCGACTAATCAGCACTAATCCAAGTCGTGCAAAGATAGATAATCTGAAGCAAAAACCAATGGAAGATACAATTCAGTTCAAATTCCACTCAATGGGATCGAAAGAACGGTAAATTTCAGATCAAGATCATGATTTCCTCCACAACTAAATGGATCGAAGGAGTGGTAAGCAAATACCTCTCAAGCAGCAGCTCTATCGCAAAGGCTTTCGGTTCCTCCTTAGACAACGCGTCGACGGTCTATGTTATATCGTATACCGTTCTAGCAAACCTGCGTCTATACTTCGCGAGAAGTTCAGAACATGAAAACGGTGTCGTATCAATTTTCTTCCGGCGCTAACTCTCAGACTAATTATCAATTCAATTTTATAAATCCATTTAGATCTTTCATTAAATTCATTAATATATAAAACTTCTCTAAATAAAAATATTAAAACCAAACAAGATAGCAACAGTTTTTTATTCATATATATATATATATATATATATATATATTTTTTTTTTTTTTTTTTTTTTTTTTTTTTTTTTTTTTTTTTTTTTTTTT